CGCTAGGGCACAGCCGTGTGGGGAACCTGAGTGCATCTGGTTTCCTCCCCCCCGCTAGCCTGGAGTTTCACGCTAACATCATCTCGGATGCTGTGAAGAAGGTGATCAAGGTCGGCAAGGTGAGTGCCAGGCCGCCATGGCCCCTTCCTGCTTCTCTGCCACCACCCTTGCCTGGTGCTTGGAGACTTTCTAGGTGCCCTCGGGGTGCAGCTGGCGTGGTCTGCTTGGGGCCGCAGTCGCGGCTGCTGCATCTGGGCCAGGGCCCACCTGTCTGGCTGGACCCTGGGCCAGGCTGCGCTTTAGTGGGGCGCTTGGTCTGGCTGTGCGGGGCTGTAGTTGTGCTTGTTTGGGGTGGCTCCTGTTCCGGCCGGCCTCAGGGAAGCTGCAGGGGCACCGCCCCCATCCCCATGCCTGTGTGAATGCCTGGTTCCCCCAGCCCGGCTCTTCCTCATGTCTGCTCCCCGCCTCTGGCCTCTCCTCTCCTGGCAGGGCAGTGTGCCAGGGATCTGCTTTGCTGCCAGTCCTGTGCTCTCCTCTGCTGTCCTGTCCTTGCCCACTGGCCTCGGTGCCCGCACTCACACGCCCATTCTCTCCTCTCTGCCCCTCCCCTGTTGGATTTCCAGGTCCGGACCCGGGACATGGGCGGTTACTCTACCACCTCGGACTTCATCAAGTCTGTGATTGACAACCTGCACCCCCACTACGGGCTCTAGGCCCCCTGGCCGTGCCCAGCCCCAGGACTGCATGTGTGCGCCAGCACCTCTCGCTTCCAGGCCCAGCGGACCTCTCACCTGGCCCCTGCCCCGGTGCCCTGATGCTTGTCACCTGCTCTGTGGCTGCCAGGGTCAACCTGTTCTCCACAGCAGGCCCCTGGGAGGGGATTATCCCTACGAGCGCCCCATGACTCCTACCTCCTTGGCATCCAGCTGGTGCCTGTCCCAAGAGCCTGAGGCCTGCTGAGCACAGGTCAGGGGGCTGTGGACCCCCATGTTTCTGTCCTGCCCTGATGCCTCACGTGGCCGCAGGGAGTGGAGCCCCTGCACCACGCTGGGCTGGCCTGCTGATACCGGAGCACTCCCCCTGCTCTGCGGCCCCCTGCATGTAGGGCCCAGGCTGTGGTTGGGGCTGAAATGGGATCCAAAAAGCAAGTGAGACATTCCAGCGGGTGATGGGGGCAGGCTGCCAGAGTCCCAGCATGGGGGCCTGTAGCTTTCACAGGCCCGACCCCACCACA